TACCCCCTCCTTCCTGATAACCTTGCTCTCTGCTGCTATCCACCACATCACCCCCCCCCCTCCAAGAAAAAAACCCGATAAAAAAATCCTCCCCCCGCCTCCCACCCCCCCCATCACCCCCCCCCTTCATAGATACATTCCTGAATTAAGATTCAGCCACCAGTCTACCCAGTTGGTTTGGGTACATGGCATTGGGGGTGCCATCCTGTTCTTTTGCCTCAGCCATTCATAGGGGTAGCCATGTATTCATTACAAAGAAATGCATAATTCACAGAACTAGGCTAAACCAGATTATAATTTGGGTGGAAACCTGAGAGATCTGGTAGGTGTAGCAGAGAAATACGTCAATTTCAGTTTCTCTGCTTTTATGAAATTGACCATCTTTTTTTCTCCCAGGTCTCATTTTCAGCAGATCTCTCAAGTTTGCTTCACTGAATTTGAACTGCTTTTACTCTAAACATTCACAGCAAATGTAGCTTGATGCAAATATCTCCAAGCTTCTATATTGTGGCTTCTTATGTCATGTGCCCAGTTTTCAAACAATTTGGGTGCGTTTTGTTCATCGTTTCCCCAAATACTTGCATTTTACTACAGATTTGTCCTTTTTACATAATCGTTAGGTGCAAACTGCATTACAAATTTGGAGAATTGAAGCGTTCCGATGCTTGCTGTCTGTCCACGGGGGTACTGCTTCCACAGTAAAAACGGATAAGCCTCCCATTCAAATGCCAGATAAATTAATTTCTCCCCAATGTCTCTAGGCAGGGGGCCTGCACGAAGCGAAAGTGTGCTCCTAACATATTCCAAAACACTTTGCACCACATAAAAACTCTCAAAGCGGACATGTTAACTTGGCAAAATGCCTCTTTCAGAACTGTGCCCCAGCAGAAGATCTGTACATGTCTTGTTCTCACTTGCCTGGCTGAACTCATTTGTCACAGAAGCCTAATTCTCTTGGAAGAGTTCGCTGGGAAGAGTGGTGTCCATTCTAAATGAGACTGTATTTCTTCCCCTAGAGATCCACCACTTTCTACATCAGAGGATCTTTGACCTCCCTTTCCTCGATGGCAGCCATGAAGAAAAAGTGGAATCTGGAACATATCCGCTTTATTTTTGCTTGTTTGCTTTGCCTCATTCTCACAGAGGAAATTAAAGCGGAACAAGGAAAATGTAAGTATATTTCGGGCAATGTGTTGGAAGCTGTAATTAACGCTCTGCTGTGGGAAAGCACCCAGAATAAGCCTTTAGGGTCTACATGCGTGCATGTGATTTGTGAGCTGTTTGGAGTGTGGCGATAATCCACAGGAGCGGTTCTTCTGCTGATCATTAATTAAATGAATTTTAATAAAGCTGCATGCTTCATAATTGGGGAAGTGCTGCTTCCTCCAAACTAACGTTAAAGGATGATTTCCATGCTTCTGCATACCTACTCCCCAAAGCCACACAAAGGGTAGCAGCAACAGATTTGGTCCTGAATTTCCAGCTGTCCCCACCACAGAAGTCTCTGTAACCATTGTTACCACCAGCATGCTTGGTCTCCATCCAGCAGCAGCAATGTTCTCAAAAGAAATGTTCTCAAATGAAAAAAAAATATGTTTTTTCCCCCCATTGCAACATTTTCCACTGTTAGATTTTTCCATGGAAAATCTTCTCCTTTGCAAAAACTGTATTAATTAAAATAATTAATAACATAATGAATGGGGACCATTCAGGTCGAACTGAGCTGCTGAAACAAGTGCAAGGTCAGTCTCATTTGCACTCAGTGTTGAGATGGGTTTGTTTAAATGATTGCTTTCCCAATGTAAACCCAAGCTGGGTTCCCACAACAGGCTTAATCACATCAATTACAAACCTAGGGGTGGCATTCAGACAATATGCTATGCATACTTAGTTTTTGTGATTTAGTATGGTGTGAACCCAGGTGATGTAGTTAGTTGATACTTTAATGATGGTTTAATTTCAAGTACCAAGTAAGGGACATTATGTGCATTAAAGACTGCCATACCTGGAAGATTTTCAGACATACCATGCATGCAATCCTATAATGATTAGGGCAATTTGATATCTTCCAGAGGTTTTGGATTCTAGCTCCCACATGGATCCAGGCGACTGAGATCCAGATTTCCTTTCTACTTTATACCCATAGTTCTCTCTCTAAGACTTTTATTGGTATATTTAGAGAGGGTTCATGTTGAAGCAAGGAGCAAAAATGATAAGGACTGCTCTCTGTAAGCACAATATATGTCCCAGTCCATAAAGCAGTTTTGATATAGTGAATCACAGTAGTGTAGAGTTGGAAATGGAATTCAGGCCAACTCCCTGATCAATGCCGAAATCCAAATTAAAGCATCTCCAATAGAAGCACCTCCCCTCCTCCACGCCTATCAATCTTCTGCTTGAAGACATTTAGCAGCCCATCCCTTTGGTGGCTCAGCGATTCCACTGTTCAGCTGCTCTACCTGTTAGGAAGTTTTTCAAAATATTCAGCTGGAATCTTGCTTTTCTTTAACTGAAGAAAAGAAATCATTCAGATGCTAAATCAGCATACAGCTTGCTGTTATACCTGTGTACAGGAGATGACATGAGTCAAATCTGGTGATATTCTTAGTTGAAGCTTGATTCTTGGAGATTATGCTCAGCAAGTTCCTGATTTTGTTGCTGCTTCTTCTGGCATTAATATTTGTGCAAGGAAAGTATGACATATCTAGAAAAGGATATCCAGGTTTCATCCCATGCTTAGAATCCTTGGCAAGGTGTCTGATTGTAAGCCTTGGTTAAGTTCTGTGACCACCAGCTTAAGGTTGGCCACATTAAAGAGTAAATGTCCCCTCATAAAATGAAATGTTAAGAGGTGAGTGAAAATCTTCATGACACTCTTGAAAACAGAAGTGTAGAGAAAGTGGTTTGCAAAATCGATGACTTAATTCTTGAAAGACAATTTTCTTTTAATAAGTAGAATGAGAACTGAAAGGCAAAAAAATGCAGGTTGTATTTTCAACAGGGCACTAATATTTATTTATCGCCGGAGTAGCTTTCATTTGACTCTTTTCACACGTCCCCCTATGTTTTGTAACCAAATTCAAGAGTAGAATTAGAATAATGTTCTATCTTTAACCCAACAACTCTAACAAGCAAAAAGGAAGGAGATGGACTTGGTCCAAATAAGACATTCTCTCCGCCCTGCTAAGCTTATTCACTAGACTGAGGTGTGCAAATAGCTATGCTCAAAGCCGTTGGCTTGGCCAATGGACTGTCAGTGGCATTTCCAGTTCACTGCTTTGCTGGCATGAACATTTCATTCATTCTGCAGTCACCCGAAATGGAAGTAGATCTTTTTACATGAGCCACCAAAATGTTCCTTGTATCCCTCTTTCTCCTTGGAGCAGGATAGAAAGTTGATTGAGGTGACCAGATTTGAACGGCCCATCTCAGCAAAGTTCTTGCTATGGATCTCCTCTTTTGAGAAGCAGAGCAGCGAAGCCCACGATGGGCATATAGGTTGATTGCTAAATGCTTTAATTTGCAACAGTTCCTGGTCTGTTATATAACCTCTCATTTACTCATCACAAAACCAGCTTGTTTTCTCAGAAGCAAGTTCCAGTGCAAACAAAAGGTTGTGTTCATACAACCTACTTAACTAGGTCAGTCAAAGACCTAATGGCTGTTTTAGGTTAACATTCTAAACTAGGTTAGGGTTAACACTGGTTAAGTTTTTTAAAACTTGGCCTCTTGGTTATTTTACCATTCCGCAAACTCAGAAAAAGGTGTTAAAGCATTATCCAAGTTGAATGGGTTGTGTGATTTCAAACAGCCTGTATCTATTTGAAAAGTGCAAGATTTTTTGGAAACTGGAGGCCAGGTTCAGAATCACACAGAGGACCCAGCCAGGTTCAGAAGATGAAGCCAAACAGATTAAAGATCTGAGAGCAAGCTGAGGTGCAAAGCAAGGATAAGGCTTTGTACTCCTAACTGTCTTGAATGTCAAGACCTTCCAGGGACTTCAGTACCAACAGAGCATTTTGAGGCATTTGGCTTAACACTTGTCCAAAGATAATTGACTATAAAATTCAGTGACTATTAAGTAAAGGGCCCTGAAAGTGCTTTGGGGTTGAGCGCCAAGAAGGTGATCTTTCAGCCATAATTTGGTTGCCCGAATCTGAGTTGTCAATAGTGGTACCCAAGGATGGACAACCCTTGTTCTCCAGAGGTTGCTAAACTTCAACTTTGGGTAGCCCTAGCCAGCAAGGACTATGGTGAGGGCTGCTGGGGACTGTAAGAGAGCAACATCTGGAGTTTGTCCACCTCAGCATATATGAATGAAGTGCCTTCCGCTCTGATACCATCTTGGACTCCTTCAAGATGTTTTCATTTTCCCAGATTTTCACTGCTTTGTTGATTATTCTCTAATTCTACTAGAATTGGAAGGACTATTATCCTCTTGATTTTCACTTTAGGGAAGTGTTTGGTCCATACGCTTCCTTGTTTTTAACATATGTGGTGCCAGAAGAGGAGCTGACACTGAGCAGGACCTTGCAAATCTCATAAGCTAACAAATTGATCAGTGATCCCCATTTGGAGCAATCTGGTAAGCAGGTACAGAGTTGAACGTCCTGTGAAGCAATCAAACATACATTCCAGCATCATTAAGCATAAAATAGTAGCAGTCCCATCTATGTTGACTACAATAATGATGTACAGGTAGTCCCCAATTTAAGAATGAGGTCCGTTCCCAAGGTCTGTCCTTAAGTCGAATTTGTACATAAGTCAGAACAGTATGATTGTATAATACTGTATAAGTAGTATTGTGTAATGAATTCAAACATTATGTATTTAACTCAAATCATTGTGTATTTAATTCGAATTTTGCTACAATAGGCTCTGCTCTGAATTATGGGTTGTTTGTAAACCGGTGTTCTTAACCCAAGGACTCCCTGTATATCTTTTCTACAGAAATTAAGTACTCCCACTGCTGTTGCTCCACAGTTCACAGCTTCCCTTTCTCTTTTTTGCAGATTCAGAAACCTACTGCATGTTTCAAGATAAGAAGTATCGCGTAGGAGAAATGTGGCACCCTTATCTTGAACCCTATGGAATTGTTTATTGTTTCAGCTGTCTTTGCTCAGAGGTAAATTTCTTCTAGAGGTTACTAACTGTGGTGGATTGCAGCAGAGAGCAAGGCTATCAGGAAGGAGGGGGTGCATTCCAGCAAGGGAAAGGAGACAAAAGACAACACAGTCCGGAGCAGGAGCATGGGAAGCATAAGAGGTTCAGGATAGCCACTCCCTAGAATCTCTCAGGGTACATCCACTTGTTGTGGTAGCATAGATTTAGTTTGGCAAGACTCTGTCTATAAGGTGCAAGCAGATAAAGGAACTGAACTCAACAGGACTGTTTCACCATTGTTCTTGGGCTGGGCCTGACACTAACCTCCAGACCCATGCATCAGAGCCTCCCCCTTCACCTTCTCATAAAGAAAGACTTACACTCAATGAAGTCTCCAGAACTTGCCAGCTCTTGTGCGATTTCAGCATTCTTGCACAAAATCTGGTGGAAGGTCTGCTTTCCTGCCCAAGAGTGCTGGGTTAGTGACTGAAATGGTTTTAGGCATTATAGGTTGCTTTGCCCCCAAGGTAGAGGAATGGGTGCCATTCAGATCACGAGGTTCTTTGTGAAGGGACGGCCGCAGAAAGTATTCCATTCTAGTCTGTATCAGTTTTGCATCTATTTGTTCCTGACTCCATTCCTTTCCATTACCGCATCAATCCTTTTTGTCCCTGAAAGAAACTTACACTTTTTTAAGTAAGCCTTTTTGTATACATTTTGCCCTAAAATATGCTCTCTTTTTTGTACGAATTTTAACCAAATTTACTTTGTGGCACTCTCTAGGGCAAAATTCAGAAAAAGCAGGAAGCAGTGTGCTGAATAATTGAATTCTGCTTTGGGCTCAGAAAGACCCTTTTCTAGGCTTGCTTAAAAATGAGGAGTGAATGAAATCACATCTGAAATAAAAATTGCTCATCCTGCCATCCCACCTACTTCCTGATTGTGACGATACAAGTTCTCTTCCTCCCAGCTGTATCCCTAGATATTGTCCTATTCACTGAAAGCCACAGAGAATTCTAGCTCAGTCTGACCTGAACGGACAATTTGGACTGAATCATTGCCTTGAATAAGATGTGTTTGAAACGGCTTTCCCAGTTGAATCAACCCAGTTCAAATTGAATTGACAATGATTAATCTGATGCAATTCAAATCCGGTTGAACTGATACTACAGATTGGAACTGATGCCCCTTCGTGTTTCATTCCTTCTCTGTTGCAGCCCAAACCTAGTTTTGCTAGAAAAAAATTGAAGACCTGGTTCTGAAGGTGGATAAACAGTCCTGGTGAAATGCTGTCTCAGATAGATGTTACTTAACCGCACTTTGAATTCAGTGTGGCGTACGTTCAGATTTGCAACAATAAAATAGGGCGACGAATCATCGAATGCATTATTTAACTGCAGAGGTCAGAGTGGTAGCAATTTTAATGACGGAGGCTATCAAAGGCTATCAAAGTCAGTGTCAAGTGAGGAGGGGTCTTCTAGAACCAGGTGACCCCAATACAAAGCCAGATAAGCCATTTTTTGTGCTATTTCGGCATTTGGGGGGACCAGTCAATCCTTTGCATGAAAGCCCGATCAAAGCATGTAAGTAAATAACGGCTTTGCATGCTGAATGTATTTAAGGAAGGCCTACCTCCCTTCTCTGATTTCTTTCCTTCAGACCGGGAACGTGCTGTGCAACAAAATCAAATGTCCGGCCTTGCATTGTTCCAGCCCGGTGTATGAACCCCATTCATGCTGTCCAAAATGCTCAGGTAATGTGCATTTCTAGTGCATTTCTAGTGCAACTGGAATATTTGCTGCCAAAAATGCCAGGGGGAACAAACTGACCGTTGGCATGTCTGAAAAGAGCAAAAAGATGCTGTCATGCAGCAAACTCTGTCATACAGCCCATTTGTGGTGAGCTTCCTGAGAAAATGGTCTCTCGTTCCCAGTTGCGCTCTATGAGTCCTTCACTTTTCTCATCACAGCACTTTAGGCAGGTAAGCCGATTCATTTCTGCCTTCTCCTTTCTGGTACGCGACGATCCATTTTTCTGTGCCTCTTGATAGCTGATTGGCGGTTACGGTATTTATTTTGGGAATTATATTTCGAAATCTGACTGCTGGAATTCTTCAGTAGAATTTGAGAGTGGAAATGCGTGTGTCACAACACCAATGCACGAGCCTCTCATTTAAATGTCAACAGAAGCATTATGAATTATTTCAGGAACGATGTTGTAATTAATACCCTTTCTTTGGCACGTGGGTGCCTGTCCATGGCAGTTGGCTTGTACTTTTTGGTATATGCCTGTTCCATCATGCTTCTGTTGAAAAAAGAAAGCTATTTGAGATTGAAAAAACATGAACATTCACATTCTTTTGAAAGAAGTTTCAACATGTGTCCGTTGCTGTAAGCATTTCACTTTAAACCATATTTTCTGTGCATTTTATCTACAATGTGTGTATTATGTATTTTAACCCAAAAATATATATTATAGGGAGAGAGGTAACGTTTATAGGGATAATTTGGCACACTCTCCAGAGCTCAAAGACTGAAGATCGCTGCTTTCTGAAATGCAAATTAATCTGGAAAATATGAATTAAGCTGATCTGCTGAAAACTAAAGACCAAACTTAAGCCATGAACATTTCTGTTGTAAAACTATTTTTGCATTATCTATTTTCTTCTTCACATGGTAGAGTTCAGCCTTTATGCTGTGTAGGCTGCAAAAAGAGCAGTGGGGTCCAAATATTGCCCGAGTTGCCCCTCACCCCGCCCCGCAAACAGCAGAGTATTAGTTAATGTCAAGCAGTTTCCTTTTGGTTCCTACTTGAAAGAAAGTGAGCTTAGAGTAAGATACCATCTTTTGATGACAAGTTAGCAGGTAGAGTTAGATAGCTCTCCCCTTAATTCAAAAGTCCTTCTGAAGTGTTGGCAGAATATACTGAAAGCATCTTCTCCCCAAATAAACAAACAATGGTTCTTTCTCTGCAAGAGGAAGCCAACAGAATTGTCAACCACCCTCCAACGGGGACTTCGTTGCAACTCAACATAGCTTTATAACAAGGCAAGGGAGCCATCGATCAGAAAAGTAGAGAGCCAGTGGGCATTTATGACTGTATAAACTGGGCTGTACAGTACATTTATTATATTTTAAGAATTAATGTTACAGTGCAGATGAAGCAAGAGTTTTTGAAGGGGTGAGCAAATTTTCCTACATGCTCGAAGCCCTTGCTACCTTCTCATCACCTCGCTTACTCTCACTAACGAACGAGTCACAGTTGTACAACATTATAATGGAATAATTGAATCAACATTGCCCAGAGAGCAACTATTATGTAATGCACAAAACAGCAGGCAAGGAAGATTTGGAAAAGATACTATATATATTTGTAGAGTAGTGACCCCTAGTCTGGATGCGAAGAAGATTCAGAATTCATTGGAGTCCCCTGACATTTGGGTTTCAGAAGTTGTGATGGCGTCATGATTGCCTTAAGCTCCTGCCACTGTGATGGCATCCACTTTTCTCTTTAGACCCCAGCTCAAGTTCAAGTGTTTAAACTGATTAAAATATGTAGTGTTTCTCTCTCTCTCCCTGCCCCCCCCCCAATAATTATTAAATTCAATCTATTCTTCTCTCTTTCTCTCTGATCCTTTATTTGCTTTCCCAGTTTGGAAAGAAGAGAAAGGAAGCTAAAAGCCAGAGCAGGGAACTGCATTCCCTCTGTAATTATAGTGGCCCAAAGCCCCTTATTTCTTTGTTTGTTTATAATATTTCTATACCACTGAATCTATCAACATGGATGGAGGTTTGGAGGATTTAGAAAGGCCATCAAGACCAGGAAACTTTCAGGGATTGAAGTGAAGACACACCCAACCCTGCAGGTGGTGGTGGTTGATGTGGGAGATCATTTTTGTCACCCACTGAGATGTTAGAAATTGTTCCTGTGGATTACTTTAACCTTGGTTATGAAGGTGAAGGCTTCACCAATTAGAGTTGGCTACTTGATGGTGTAGAAAAGGTGGGTCAGCTTCCAGTGGTTTAGTTGGTCTGAATGGGAGTGATCTCACCCTTGTTTTTTGGCTGTTCAAGAACAGATTGATGGATTAGATTGTGAGATGAATGGAGGCCTTGTGGTTGCTTTTGAAAAGCATTTGTAGCCTTATTAAGCCATGAGCATGTGGTTGTGGCTAGAGCTCACTTTTGCAGTTTGATACTGAATACTTGCATCTCAGTGTTTTCAGCCTCTGTTAAGACAAGCATTCAATTTAGAAAGCAAATCCTTAGCCTTTGTCCAAATCACATTGTATTTTATTTAAATATTATATTACCATATAATTAAGGAATTGGGACTCATACTACAAGGATTCAGTCAAACTTCAAATGAGCTTTTGGTGTTCTTCAAAGGACTTGTAAGTCCTTGGAAACTTTCCTGCCAACTTTGGAAATAACGTCATCTGATGTTAACGATTTGTTTTTAAATCTCTCCCATTAGCATTTAAAAAAAAATTGGAAATACTTTTGATCCAGGACATTTTGCTAGCCTGTTTTAATAAAAATTCTATTTTCATTGTTTAAACCTTTGGCTCTTTCTTTTTAATCATAATAAGTTTAGAAAGATAAATGGTTCCCTTTGAAGTGATGCTTTTCAATCTCCTTGCTGTATTTCCCCATTCCAAGTAAGGCACTAATTTTAATGTTCAGTCTGGAGCAAAGAAAAAGAAGGAAGTTGGGTCTTATAGTGAGGGAGGAGATGATGATGAAGATGATGATGATGATGATAGAGTTAAATCAATCTCTTTATCTAAGTCTAACAAAAGTTGACATCCATAAGCAATACATTTGCTCAAGTCATGGTTACTTCTGCACCAGGATGACAAATCATAGTTTAACTCAGTAGCAAACAGGAAGCCTGATTAGATATCTGTATATGCTGTCTTAAACATCTTGGAGAGAGGGCAGGATATAAATATAAGAAGGAAGAGCAGGAGATGAAGATAACCAGAGTGGCTGGATTCATACCACGTGCTAAGGCAAAACTGGGACACTCTACTGTAGGCCTTGTGCCATGTATGACTCCAGGCAGAAACTGGAGAAGCTGCAAGGCTGCTTGTGAATTTGAGATTAAGGTTTTTTCTTAATTTAGTCCAGCATTTGATTGTACCACCCCTGGCATCAAGCCCTCTTCCTCCTCCCCAGAACATTTTGTCACTTTTTGACACACACACACCCCCCCGAGAAGAAATCTGAAGGCCAAGCACTTCTAAAAATAGTCAGTTTTCCATGTCTTAATGATGGATCATGCAGCTATTATTAAAACCTCTGGCTTTTTTTGCAAGTTAGCAGGCTGCAGCATAAAACAGGGATGTTTAAAAGAGTCTCTTGGTGCCCTTGTATGTTTGGCATGAAAATTCCCCCTCCCAGTCCTCAAGGGAAATTGGAGGACTCTAAATTTTGCAGTTGAGAAATAGCATGTAAGTTTGAGAGGGAGAAATTAATTGCAGGACTTCTGATCTCCACATCTCCCAGTGTTACGGGGCTGCAATAATTGAAGCAGAAGAAGCATTCAGCTCAGGATAAGTAGGAAATAGCCAAGCATATAAGAATCCCATCCTTTTCCTATTGAGACGTGAACTGTGTCCCATCCCCACCCTAACTGTGAGGACTTGTTCGCTTAAAATTAAAAGGCAGGTATTGTCTTGCTGCCTTTTGCAATGGTGCGGATGTCAAAAAGTCAGGAGTAACCAAGATCTCACAAGAGGGCTTCAGAATATTGATACTTGCTTAAGATTTGGTGATCTCATGAGCTTTTGGACTGTCTTAAGGGTGTTGTGGCTGACAATGTCTGGAATTTCAAAACACTAACACAGAGAGAAGAGTTAGATGAAGCCTAGTTGAGATTTCCCCAGCTTGCTGACTTCTAAATGTAGAAGGATTTCAGCTCCCAGATTCCTGGTACATCTCATGAACATCAGGCTGGGGAAGGCTGTGATCAGCTATCTCCTTTTTAAAATAAAAAGCAGCCTGGCCAGCCTGACATTCATTTGAATTTTTAAAAAATGGAAAATGTTGGAAAGATAAGGACTTCTTCTCTCTTTCTTCTCATTTCTCTCAACAGTTTCCTTCCCAACCTGCTTTTCTACCCACTGGAACCCAATTTTCCTTTAACACATGGCTAGCCACTAAAACTAGCATACATTTTTGCCTTTATGTAAAGTGTGTTTCATTAGCATACAGTACTTGCATGATTTAATTAAGATAATGTCTTTATTTAATTCAGAGGATCTTTACCCAGTCCTATTCTTAGCTGGATCCTCTGTGGGACCCTGTACATTCTTCCAGAACTCCCTGCTCCATATCTAAATCCAGAATGCCGACTTGTAGAAGAGAATTCAGGGGTCTGAACAGGGTCTATTCACAGATATCAGCAATTTCATAGGAAATGCTTTCCTTATGAATCTGAAATCATCCCTTGAGATTTGAACTTCAACCATAATCTTAGTCTTACAGAAGAGATTATTAACAAAAAAAGTTCTACGTGCATCTTTTCTCATTTTTCTGAAGAATTGGGGGAGGTTCAAACAACACCAAGGAACAGAGTCAATAGCTATGTTTATCAAATATGTATCATCCTTAATATCCTACAGCTCCCAAATACATAATATAGCCACATCTTTGCCATGGAATCACAGGCCCCTGAGATGTTTCAGTCCCCCCTTCCCCCCAAAAAAAATCTGACTAGATTTATGTATCCTTCATTCTTGATCTTTTCTATGTGGTTCTTGGCTCTCATCCTGTGTTTGCAAGTCAGTCTCTGCTGAAGCATATTCTAACAATTGCAGCAATGCCTCCTTTCAGTGCCTGAGAAGGCAGATATAAGGCAGTGATCAGATATCTTCCCATCTTTCATTTTCCAAGCCAGAGCAGCCAACTCTAGTTGATGAAACCAGACATGGTTTCAGTAAGTCCTAGTTATTCTTGCTTAACATCAGTGAAAAAAAATGGACTCCAGATCTTAGGTTAGACTAGGGTTTCTCAACCTCAGCCACTTTAAGATGGGTGGACTTCAACTCC